ACAGAATGGATATAAATGCTCTGGAAAACATACAAAGGAGGATGACAAAGTTGATCCCATGTATCAGAAATCTTCCCTATGAGGATACCTGGAGTTTACCTGGAGAGAGTTCCGGGGGTCAACGCCCCCGCGGCCTGGTCTGTGACCAGGCCTCCTGGTGGATCAGAGCTTGATCAACCAGGCTGTTACTGTTGGCTGCACACAAACCAACGTACGAGCCACAGCCCGACTGGTCAGGAACCGACTTTAGGTGCTAGACTGCGGACCCTGAATCTGCACTCTCTCGAAAGGCGTAGAATTAGGGAGGATATGATTGAGGTGTATAAATGGAAGACAGAAATAAATAAAGGGGATGTAAATAACATGCTGAAAATATCTAGCCTAGACAGGACTCGTAGCAATGGTTTTAAGTTGGAAAAATTCAGATTCAAGAAGGATACAGGAAAGCACTGGTTTAGTAATAGAGTTGTGGATGAGTGGAACAAACTCCCGAGTACCGTTATAGAGGCTAAAACGTTGTGTAGTTTTAAAAATAGGTTAGATAAATACATGAGTGGGTGTGGGTGGGTGTGAGTTGGACCTGACTAGCTTGTGCTACTAGGTTAGTTGCCATGTTCCTTCCTTAAGTGAATGTGACCTGACCTGACTAGGTTGGAGGCATTGGCTTAAGACGGTAGGAGACTTGGACCTGCCTCTTATGGGCCTGCTGCAGTGTTCCTTCTTTCTTATGTTATGTTCTTATGAAGCACTGTAAAGTGAAGCACTGTAAAGTGAAGCACTGTAAAGTGAAGCACTGTAAAGTGAAGCACTGTAAAGTGAAGCACTGTAAAGTGAAGCACAGTAAAGTGAAGCACTGTAAAGTGAAGCACTGTAAAGTGAAGCACTGTAAAGTGAAGCACTGTAAAGTGAAGTTTTGTCAAGTTAAACACTGTAAAGCAAAGCACTGTAAAGCAAAGCACTGTAAGAGAAAGCACTGTAAAGCAAAGCACTGTAAAGCAAAGCACTGTAAGAGAAAGCACTGTAAAGCAAAGCACTGTAAAGCAAAGCACTGTAAGAGAAAGCACTGTAAAGCAAAGCACTGTAAAGCAAAGCACTGTAAGAGAAAGCACTGTAAAGCAAAGCACTGTAAGAGAAAGCACTGTAAAGCAAAGCACTGTAAAGTGAAGCACTGTAAGAGAAAGCACTGTAAAGCAAAGCACTGTAAGAGAAAGCACTGTAAAGCAAAGCACTGTAAAGTGAAGCACTGTAAGAGAAAGCACTGTAAAGTGAAGCACTGTAAGAGAAAGCACTGTAAAGCAAAGCACTGTAAAGTGAAGCACTGTAAGAGAAAGCACTGTAAAGTGAAGCACTGTAAGAGAAAGCACTGTAAAGTGAAGCACTGTAAGAGAAAGCACTGTAAAGTGAAGCACTGTAAGAGAAAGCACTGTAAAGTGAAGCACTGTAAGAGAAAGCACTGTAAAGTGAAGCACTGTAAGAGAAAGCACTGTAAAGTGAAGCACTGTAAGAGAAAGCACTATAAAGTGAAGCACTGTAAGAGAAAGCACTGTAAAGTGAAGCACTGTAAGAGAAAGCACTGTAAAGCAAAGCACTGTAAAGTGAAGCACTGTAAGAGAAAGCACTGTAAAGTGAAGCACTGTAAGAGAAAGCACTGTAAAGTGAAGCACTGTAAGAGAAAGCACTGTAAAGTGAAGCACTGTAAGAGAAAGCACTATAAAGTGAAGCACTGTAAGAGAAAGCACTGTAAAGTGAAGCACTGTAAGAGAAAGCACTGTAAAGTGAAGCACTGTAAGAGAAAGCACTGTAAAGTGAAGCACTGTAAGAGAAAGCACTGTAAAGTGAAGCACTGTAAGAGAAAGCACTGTAAAGTGAAGCACTGTAAGAGAAAGCACTGTAAAGTGAAGCACTGTAAGAGAAAGCACTGTAAAGTGAAGCACTGTAAGAGAAAGCACTGTAAAGTGAAGCACTGTAAGAGAAAGCACTATAAAGCAAAGCACTATAAAGCAAAGCACTATAAAGCAAAGCACTATAAAGCAAAGCACTATAAAGCAAAGCACTATAAAGCAAAGCACTATAAAGCAAAGCACTATAAAGCAAAGCACTATAAAGCAAAGCACTATAAAGCCAGGCCCATACATCATTAACCTTCACTTGGGTTTATCCTGGTGGATCATTGACACTGTGTGTGATAATTGTACATATGTGGGGTCCATGGCAGACCTACTATGAAACTAATCAAGCTTGAGGGCCCCTAATCCCAGAGGGGGCCCAAAAGCTTAAGCCTGAGGGGCCCCGAACCCACTTTAGTCCACATTGCATAGAACTTTTGGGTCTACTGTATGAGGAGAGGATGTTAAGGGGCCCCAGAGCATCTCAAGCTTCAGGGCCCTAAAAATGTAGGGGCCCACAATACTTATGTGTACCTGTGCCTAAATAAACTTAACAAGTTAATCAACTCCAATGTAAGCTTACTTAGGTGACTCAGGAACCTACTTAGGTGACTCAGGAACCAATTTAGATGGCTAAGGAACCTACTTAAGTGACTCAGGAACCTACTTAGATGGCTAAGGAACCTACTTAAGTGACTCAGGAACCTACTTAAGTGACTCAGGAACCTACTTAAGTGACTCAGGAACCTACTTAGAAGGCTAAGGAACCTACTTAGGTGACTCAGGAACCAATTTAGATGGCTAAGGAACCTACTTAAGTGACTCAGGAACCTACTTAGATGGCTAAGGAACCTACTTAGGTGACTCAGGAACCAATTTAGATGGCTAAGGAACCTACTTAAGTGACTCAGGAACCTACTTAGATGGCTAAGGAACCTACTTAAGTGACTCAGGAACCTACTTAAGTGACTCAGGAACCTACTTAAGTGACTCAGGAACCTACTTAGAAGGCTAAGGAACCTACTTAGGTGACTCAGGAACCTACTTAAGTGACTCAGGAACCTACTTAGAAGGCTAAGGAACCTACTTAAGTGACTCAGGAACCTACTTAAGTGACTCAGGAACCTACTTAAGTGACTCAGGAACCTACTTAGATGGCTAAGGAACCTACTTAGGTGACTCAGGAACCTATTTAGGTGACTCAGGAACCTACTTAGATGGCTAAGGAACCTACTTAGGTGACTCAGGAACCAACTTAGATGGCTAAGAATCTACTTAAGTGACTCAGGAACCTACTTAGATGGCTAAAGAACCTACTTAGGTGACTCAGGAACCTATTTAGGTGACTCAGGAACCTACTTAGGTGACTCAGGAATCTACTTAGGTAACTCAGGAATCTACTTAGGTAACTCAGGAACCTACTTAGGTAACTCAGGAACCTACTTAGGTAACTCAGGAACCTACTTGGGTAACTCAGGAACCTACTTAGGTGAATCAGGAACCTACTTAGATGGCTAAGGAACCTACTTAGGTGACTCAGGAGCCTACTTAGGTGACTCAGGAACCTACTTAGGTGACTCAGGAACCTACTTAGGTGACTCAGGAACCTACTTAGATGGCTAAGGAACCTACTTAGATGGCTAAGGAACCTACTTAGGTGACTCAGGAACCTACTTAGATGGCTAAGGAACTTAGGTGACTCAGGAACCTACTTAGGTAACTCAGGAACCTACTTAGGTGACTCAGGAACCTACTTAGATGGCTCAGGAATCTACTTAGGTGACTCAGGAACCTACTTAGATGGCTAAGGAATCTACTTAGGTGACTCAGGAACCTACTTAGGTGACTCAGGAACCTACTTAGGTGACTCAGGAACCTACTTAGGTGACTCAGGAACCTAATTAGGTGACTCAGGAACCTAATTAGGTGACTCAGGAACCTACTTAGGTGATTCAGGAACCTACTTAGGTGACTCAGGAACCTACTTAGGTGACTCAGGAACCTACTTAGGTGACTCAGGAACCTACTTAGGTGACTCAGGAACCTACTTAGGTGACTCAGGAACCTACTTAGGTGACTCAGGAACCTACTTAGGTGACTCAGGAACCTACTTAGGTGACTCAGGAACCTACTTAGGTGACTCAGGAACCTACTTAGATGGCTAAGGAATCTACTTAGGTGACTCAGGAACCTACTTAGGTGACTCAGGAACCTACTTAGGTGACTCAGGAACCTACTTAGGTGACTCAGGAACCTACTTAGATGACTCAGGAACCTACTTAGGTGACTCAGGAACCTACTTAGGTGACTCAGGAACCTACTTAGGTGACTCAGGAACCTACTTAGGTGACTCAGGAACCTACTTAGGTGACTCAGGAACCTACTTAGGTGACTCAGGAACCTACTTAGGTGACTCAGGAACCTACTTATGTGACTCAGGAACCTACTTAGATGGCTAAGGAATCTACTTAGGTGACTCAGGAACCTACTTAGGTGACTCAGGAACCTACTTAGGTGACTCAGGAACCTACTTAGGTGACTCAGGAACCTACAATAGCTCGATCCCCAGTACGGGTGAAAGCATTAGGTGTTTCCTTAAGACACCTGCTGTCCCTCTTCACATAGCAGTAAGTAGGTACCTAAATGTTAGCTTACACCTGCTGTTCCTGTTCGCCTAGCAGTAAGTAGGTACCTGGGTGTTAGTCACCTTACACATGCTGTACTACAATGACTCTGGAACTTATTTAGGGTGACTGGAACCTATTTAGAGGGACTTGAACCTATTTAGGTGACCTAGGGACCTATTTAGGGTGACCCAAGAACCTACTTAGGTGACCAGCTAAGGATTGTAATAGGTACTACAGAGACAGCAGGTGTTAGGTGACCCAGAAACCTGCTTAGGTAACCCAGGAACCTACTTAGGTGACCAAAAACAAAATAGGTACAATGAAAATGTTAGGTGACCCAGGAACTTACTTAGTTGACCACCTAAGGACTGTAATAGGTACTACAGAGACAGCAGGTGTTAGGTGACCCAGAACCTACCTAGATAATCCAGGAACCTCCTTAGGTGACTACCAAAGGACAGTAGGAAAATAGTAAGCCAATACTCACCTGATTAGGTGAATAGTAGGTACTACCTAGGTCTCTGTGGCAGCAGGTGTTAAGTGTGTCCATTAGGTACATGGAAGTAGGTAGGTGAAGCACCTGAGGAGCGTCAACCAGGCGGGGCAGGCGGTACATAGCGGCCATCTTGAAGGTCACCTAATGCCGCTAATGACACTTTTTCCTGAGCACCAGCGGGAGACACGTCATCAGTGACGTCACGACAGTAAGTAGGTACCTGGGTGTTATACTTGGAGTATACCTAGAGAGGGTTTCGGGGGTCGGATTTTTAACCCCGGAGGGTTAGTCATCAGGGAACTGTCACCTTGTACCTGCTGTCCCTATTCACCTAGCAGTAAGTAGGTACCTGGGTGTTAGTTACCTTGTACCTGCTGTCCCTGTTCACTTAGCAGTAAGTAGGTACCTGGGTGTTAATTACTTTACACATACTGTCCTTTTTCACTTAGCAGTAAGTAGGTACCTAAGTGTTAGTTACCTTACACCTGATGTCCCTGTTCACCTAGTAGTAAGTAGGTACCTGGGTGTTAGTTACCTTATATCTGCTGTCCATGTTCACTTAGCAGTAAGTAGGTACCTGAGAGTTCCCTTACAACTGCTTTGTTCACATAGCAGTAAGTAGGTACCTGGGTGTTAGTGGACTGGTGTGGGTGGCATCCTGGGACAAAACTGACCTAATTTGCGGGAAATGCTCAGCATAACAGGTGGCCCGGTGGCTAAAGCTCCCGCTTCACACACGGAGGTCCCGGGTTCGATTCCCGGCGGGTGGAAACATATCGACACGTTTCCTTACACCTGTTGTCCTGTTCACCTAGCAGCAAATAGGTACCTGGGTGTTAGTCGACTGGTGTGGGTCGCATCCTGGGGGGACAAGATTAAGGACCACAATGGAAATAAGTTAGACAGTCCTCGATGACGCACTGACTTTCTTGGGTTATCCTGGGTGGCTAACCCTCCGGGGTTAAAAATCCGAACGAAATCTTATCTTCTAGCACGTTAAGAGACCATACAATAAGTGTCAGGGGCCCGAGACTGTTCAACTGCCTCCCAGCACACATAAGGGGGATTACCAACAGACCCCTGGCAGTCTTCAAGCTGGCACTGGACAAGCACCTAAAGTCAGTTCCGGATCAGCCGGGCTGTGGCTCGTACGTTGGTTTGCGTGCAGCCAGCAGCAACAGCCTGGTTGATCAGGCTCTGATCCACCAGGAGGCCTGGTCACAGACCGGGCCGCGGGGGCGTTGACCCCCGAAACTCTCTCCAGGTAAACTCCAGGTAATAACAAGTGACTTTCTATATAGTAGTATGTCACTGATGTCAGCTATGATCTGTATACCTTGTACATGTACTTGTATACCTTGTACATGTACTTGTATACCTTGTACATGTACTTGTATACCTTGTACATGTACTTGTATACCTTGTACATGTACTTGTATACCTTGTACATGTACTTGTATACCTTGTACATGTACTTGTATACCTTGTACATGTACTTGTATACCTTGTACATGTACTTGTATACCTTGTACATGTACTTGTATACCTTGTACATGTACTTGTATACCTTGTACATGTACTTGTATACCTTGTACATGTACTGGTATACCTTGTACATGTACTGGTATACCTTGTACATGTACTTGTATACCTTGTACATGTACTTGTATACCTTGTACATGTACTTGTATACCTTGTACATGTACTTGTATACCTTGTACATGTACTTGTATACCTTGTACATGTACTTGTATACCTTGTACATGTACTTGTATACCTTGTACATGTACTTGTATACCTTGTACATGTACTTGTATACCTTGTACATGTACTTGTATACCTTGTACATGTACTTGTATACCTTGTACATGTACTGGTATACCTTGTACATGTACTGGTATACCTTGTACATGTACTTGTATACCTTGTACATGTACTTGTATACCTTGTACATGTACTTGTATACCTTGTACATGTACTTGTATACCTTGTACATGTACTTGTATACCTTGTACATGTACTTGTATACCTTGTACATGTACTTGTATACCTTGTACATGTACTTGTATACCTTGTACATGTACTTGTATACCTTGTACATGTACTTGTATACCTTGTACATGTACTGGTATACCTTGTACATGTACTTGTATACCTTGTACATGTACTGGTATACCTTGTACATGTACTTGTATACCTTGTACATGTACTTGTATACCTTGTACATGTACTTTTATACCTTGTACATGTACTGGTATACCTTGTACATGTTTACCTGGAGTTTACCTGGAGAGAGTTTCGGGGGTCAACGCCCCCGCGGCCCGGTCTGTGACCAGGCCTCCTGGTGGATCAGCCCCTGATCAACCAGGCTGTTGCTGCTGGCTGCACGCAAACCAACGTACGAGCCACAGCCCGGCTGATCAGGAACTGACTTTAGGTCACTGACTTTAGGTACTGGTATACCTTGTACATGCACTTGTATACCTTGTACATGTACTGGTATACCTTGTAAATGTACTTGTATACCTTGTACATGTACTGGTATGCCTTGTACATGTACTTGTATACCTTGTACATGTACTTGTATACCTTGTACATGTACTGGTATACCTTGTACATGTACTGGTATACCTTGTACATGTACACCTTGTACATGTACTTGTATACCTTGTACATGTACTTGTATACCTTGTACATGTGCTTGTATACCTTGTACATGTACTTGTATACCTTGTACATGTACTTGTACTTGTATACCTTGTACATGTACTTGTATACCTTGTACATGTACTGGTATACCTTGTACATGTATACCTTGTACATGTACTTGTATACCTTGTACATGCACTTGTATACCTTTTACATGTACTTGTATACCTTGTACATGTACTTGTATACCTCGTACATGTACTTGTATACCTTGTTTACCTGGAGTTTACCTGGAGAGAGTTCCGGGGGTCAACGCCCCCGCGGCCCGGTCTGTGACCAGGCCTCCTGGTGGATCAGAGCCTGATCAACCAGGCTGTTGCTGATGGCTGCACGCAAACCAACGTACGAGCCACAGCCCGGCTGGTCAGGTACCGACTTTAGGTGCTTGTCCAGTGCCAGCTTGAAGACTGCCAGGGGTCTGTTGGTAATCCCCCTTATGTATGCTGGGAGGCAGTTGAACAGTCTCTGGCCCCTGACACTTATTGTATGGTCTCTTAACGTGCTAGTGACACCCCTGCTTTTCATTGGGGGGATGTTGCATCGTCTGCCAAGTCTTTTGCTTTCGTAGTGAGTGATTTTCGTGTGCAAGTTCGGTACTAGTCCCTCTAGGATTTTCCAGGTGTATATAATCATGTATCTCTCCCTCCTGCGTTCCAGGGAATACAGGTTTAGAAACCTCAAGTGCTCCCAGTAATTGAGGTGTTTTATCTCCGTTATGCGCGCCGTGAAAGTTCTCTGTACATTTTCTAGGTCAGCAATTTCACCTGCCTTGAAAGGTGCTGTTAGTGTGCAGCAATATTCCAGCCTAGATAGAACAAGTGACCTGAAGAGTGTCATCATGGGCTTGGCCTCCCTAGTTTTGAAGGTTCTCATTATCCATCCTGTCATTTTTCTAGCAGATGCGATTGATACAATGTTATGGTCCTTGAAGGTGAGATCCTCCGACATGATCACTCCCAGGTCTTTGACGTTGGTGTTTCGCTCTATTTTGTGGCCAGAATTTGTTTTGTACTCTGATGAAGATTTAATTTCCTCATGTTTACCATATCTGAGTAATTGAAATTTCTCATCGTTGAACTTCATATTGTTTTCTGCAGCCCACTGAAAGATTTGGTTGATGTCCGCCTGGAGCCTGGAGTACTTGTTGTAAATAAAGATTATTATTATTATTATTATTATTATTATTATTATTATTATTATTATTATTATTATTATTATTATTATTATTATTATTATTATTATTATTACCGTCCCCGAGAGGTTCAAGGCGGCCGGAGTTACTCCTATCTTCAATAAAAAAAACAGTAGGCCTGACGCCAGCAATTATAGGCCTGTTAGTATGCGCAGTGTGATGTCCACAGTTCTAGAGAGGCTCTGTACTCTCAAGTAATTAAATAGCTTAATGACAAAAATAATCTCCCTAGTTACCAATCAGGGGCCCAGGAGATGTTACTCGACTGACACCTTCCTAATTAATCAGAAGGATTACCTGAGAACTGTAATGTGGCTACAGGGAATCTCATAGGCATGGTGACTTTAAACTTGCAAAAGGCCTTCGATATTGTCAACCATGATATGGTTGAGGCCTGGTCAGCTGCCCGGTCTGTGACCAGGCCTCATGGTGGATCAGAGCCTGATCAACGAGGCTGTTGATGTTAGCCCCGTCAAGGTAGTATTCCGGGTCCCTTACTGTTCCTGTGTGTAATGCAGTGTAATACGGGTCTTAATTAACTACGTTTGGCCCAACAGTGAGCTTTACTAAGTGACAATCAGATCTACCTGAGTGAAGACAACGTGGGAATGTATAGTGTGGAGTCAGGTGGAGAATGTTGGGTAGGTTGTAACTGAGACTGACCTGCCCGGGACGGGCGGGTGTGTATGTTGTTACGTAGGATAACCATGAACGTCTTGGCAAGGGGTTTAGATATGTTCTTCTCTACAAAGCTGACTAAGAACTTCGTTTTAAAGTCCATGGAAAACCTACCAATCATCATGATCTTCACTTCTACTCTCACCACAACATCAGAACCAAACATGGTGTAATTATAGGTTTTTTTCCTCGTGCATCCCGACTCTGTAGCAGTGAGTTCCTTCAGGAAGAATGTTCTCTCACCGAACAAATATTCTCTGAACATCTCTATCCTCGTCACTTCACTAGGGACTGTAGACGCCGGGCACATATCATCTCTCCTCACCAACTCTGTCGCCAAACATGCTTCTAACATGACTCACGAAATCGTAATGACACGATTGCAAACAAACCATACCACGGGTGGGGTTAGAACCCGCGGTCAGAGAGTCATAAAATTCCCGTGGTATGGTACGCTTCTAATATGTAATAAATGGTTTAAAACCGACAAGTGAAGATTGAGACACTTATGCAACATATGGGAATCTTTACTGAAGAAACGTTTCTCCACACAGTGACTTCATCAGTCCAATAGAAATCAGAAGGGTTTAA